ACACACACACACACACACACACACACACACACATATATATGCAAGAATACATATGCATAAAATATAAATTACACATACAAATTACACTGTTGTATAAATTACACAATAAACTTAAACACAAGCTTGGACACAATAATACAGTTTCTGCACACAGAAACTCAAACCCTTGTGTTTCATTGCACATACCTGAAGATATCCTATGTTGCTCTCACTGGAGCCCAGGCCTCCAAGGATGATGGGATAATGTGGGTCAAAGTTTGTAATGAATTCACAAGGCACAGAGGGGATTTCTATCCGGATGTACATTCCCGGCCGGAAGCCTTCGTACTGAACTCTAGTTTCATCGTCCATATCCTCAAACTCTGCTTTGTTTAACTGAAGACAAAGACAGAAAACGTTTCTGTAATTAGAATGTGAATATGTATTTTGTGAAGCAGTGACCAGTTGAGAAGATTGTAATATACCTCAGCCTGCTTCTGCATCTCTTCCTTCAAGTCATCAAAGTAAGTGGCATCAGCATCATCATACTCTGCGTTAAACCTCTCCTTTAGCTTGCGTTTCTTCTCCAGACGCTTGTTCCTCTGAACCTCTTCATCATCCATCTTCACCGGGACATCTTTGTCTTCGTCACTCTCTTCATTCTGTTGACAGTCGAGGCACAAAGACATACTGTTTACAAGTAACAACTAAAAGGTATTATTTAGTTGACAGGAACATGAATTTGCAACATTAAAATTACGAACAGAGCCRTTTTTGTCAAATGTATTTTTGCTTATTGATTGTTGTTATTTGGAGTAAACCCAATTCAAGGAGGCTGTCGCAGCTAATTGACTGCAGAAGCCACAAAAATGGCTACAACCCAGTGCATTTTACAAAAACTGAATGTCATGATAACCTGGCAGAGGTGTGGTTTGTCTTTGAGGACTCCACCAGGTGAGTTTAATCAGGTCAATCAGAAGACAGAAGACCACAGAACAAAAGCAGTCATGCGGCTTGTGGACAAGCAGAGCAGAAGGCAGCTTCACAAAGGTACTGAAACCAAACTGTGAGGAAAAGGACTTTTAAACTTAAAGGATTATCGATAAGCCCATTTGAACTCTTGAATGCACTGTCTGGAACTTTTTGTTTGTTTTTAGGTGAAAAATGTATTTGTATTGTTCAATTATGTAAAACATTTAATGTATAAATGTTTGTTCTTGGTAAAATTTGAATACTGCATTGTCATTGAATTTAGCATAAAAATAAGCAAAAAGATAAATATGCAAAATCACCTCTTTAGGTTTTCTACTAATTTGTGTAAATTCAAGTAAGAAAATTGAAATTTATACATTTTAATCTGGAAAAAATGTATTTTTAATTCTTAACTCTGTTTGCAAAACTTTGTAAAACATTTTTGTTTAAAACCTTTACCTACAAATTGATAATTTACCTGTGTTTTCGGTTTAAGTTTTTTCACCTGTAATACTGGTTACACCTGAGAAACTGGTCAAATAAGTCCTGGTCCTTCAAGTGTGGACACCTCACAGCCTCTAAAACACTTGACAGTGAATTTAAACAGATGTCACAGCAGCTGAGACTCATCCCTATCACACACTCAGGCTGGGTCCTTGTTAGACGGCAAAGACCAGAAAAAGAGGCTGTGAATTTGGACGGTCTAGCCTCCCGTCTTACCCCGGTATACGTCCTGTCGTCTAGCAAACATTACAATGCTAAACAGAAGTAAAATTTCATTGAAAGTAGAAAAAATCAAAATATTAGCGTTATTAATATAACAAAACAATTAAATTAACTTAAAGTCAATATTTGAAGAACTAACGGGCCCGCCGTAGGTGCATATTTATTCCTCTATACCAGCTTGTTTTTGTTTCTGAAAAAAATATTTTAAAACATGTGACACATTACAAAAGTATTAACAACACAACTAGGGTCGAGTTAGCCTGGCCCTTGCCTTCCTACGCAGCTCCACTCAGTTCTAGTTTCCTTCACTGCACCGTCTGGGATTTCTCCCATAGACAAGGATTTCTTCAGGAGCATTTCATTCGGGCCAATCAGAGAACAGAACGTTGATTTTCTGCGCAGTGTCTGCTTGTAGTTTATTTTACCTGGGCCAATCAGCAAACAGAAGGAGGAGTTTTGAAAGACGTTGATGTTCTGCACAGTGTCTGCCAGTTATTTTAGCATACGGCAGTGGAGGAAGTGAATGAAGCCAGTCTGTGTTGATAAGGCTTCAAATTAAATTAAATTAGTCTGACAAAGCAGCAGCTCTCATTTACAGTCGTCTCGTTCGATTCGGTATACATATTTCTCCTCTCAGTAGGGTTGTTTACAGCACACGAGATTTCCGGTTAGCTTCTTAGCTTAGCCTCCGTCACAGCGACATACGTCGTGGCCAACAGATCCAATCACTTTAAACTTCAGCAGAGGCCACACCTCCAGCAAGAATCAGTTCTCTATAGCTGACAGTGCAGACCCTCGTATGAAGCAAAGTGAAGAACAAGGGTCTGGTTTTTATCAGGCTAGGGTTGGGTACCAAAACTCGGTTCCAGTATGGCACCGGGGCGAACATCCACGGTAGTACACAGACCGAAACACAACTCTAATTTCGGTGCTTTATTTCGGTGCCTCAAAGAAAGATGTTAATTTGCACCCTCTGGTGTTCACTGTTAACAGTGACAGTCTCGGCCCACAATCTCCACAGACTCTCTTGTATGYGGTTCGACTCAGCTCGGTCTCAGCCCAATGCGTCTCCAAGTGCGCTCCACAGCCGCGCTGTCTCAGAACCTCCTCTCCGGTGGTTCTAAGTAGGTAGAAGCGAGTGCAGCACGCTTATGATTTTAACATCAGCAGAATCCTGCCGGTGGATTAACTCTTGGATTGACTGACAGCAAGTTTCCTCCTGGAGAGAGCTGCTTTTCTTTAGGAATACGAGTGTGTGGCGCGATATGACGACATGGTGAAATAAAACTGCCTTTTTGGGAAAGGCACAACTTGTAAACACTTCCTGGAGAAGAAGCTGAGCAGATCATAGGAGGTTTCCAACAAAATAGCCACCCACAGTTACACAAGCACTTAGCTAAACAGCACCGTGACAATAACTAACTAACTAACTAACTAAATAAATAAATAACTAACTAACTAAATAAATAAATAAATAAAGTGAAGTCTGAACGGTAAGACCACAACAGCTTTTTAATTTTTTTATTACTATTTTTAACACATCAGGTGAAGCCGCTGCAGACGGTCCGCACACTATCACACCCACTGCGTGGAGACACACGGATACTGAGCAGAACCGACCCGACCCAAAGTGAATCGAGTAGAACCGAGTTCATGGAGAGGGGCTGAACAGGTGCCGCTGCAGTTAACAGTTATATATTATAAATTATAGTCAAGATGATGAAAGCAAAACGGTCCAAAGTGTGATGTCACTTTACAAAATAAGATGCAGAAACTTCCACCTACAATAAATGGTTTAATATTTGGTGCAAAGACAAATTATTAATGGTTTTAAGTTAATATATTGGTTAATTTCAAGTTTGACTTTGACTCAGAAATAGTTATTGCTTCATAAACCTCTGTGTAAGTGTGTGTTTTATTTATTTATTTTTAAAGTATCGATACACACTACTACTACACAAAGCAAAAAGGGAAACAATACATCGTCTCTTGGATCTTACTGAAAATAATTTAAATCACAGAAACGGTATGATGGTTAATTTTAGAGGTTATGATGCTGACTTTTTATAACTGTAGTGTAACATCAAACCTGCCACACTGAATTAAAAGTGTTTCAATGTAGTGACGCAACCTGATGCTGTTACTACTGCTCCTACAATCATGATGTTCATGTGGTGTCATGTGTCATACCTCAGCTTCATCCTGCCCTGCTGCTTTACTTGAGTGGAATTCTCCTGTTTCCAAATCTTCAAAGTCTCCATACAGCTCCTCTAAATAAAACAAAACCAAAGGAACACACCAGACATCGTTTTCACCCATTTAAATGTAGTTTAGATACTCTTTTGGTATTTATAAAAAAGGCCACTGCATTTTTAATAAATGAAAACCTAAACCTATTTATAACATTGTTAAATGTAATAAAATCAGCCAATAATAGAGTGAATTAAAAGTTAATGTTTCTGTTTAGTTTCTCTTGTATGTTTCTGCAGTAAACTATTTCATGTTATTTTATTCATTTATATTTCAGAAAGTACAATTCTTTGAGGAACTTGTGCTGACTTTTCATTACTGTATTATCCTTTTTAAAGTATTTAATTGACTTAAGTGACCAGCAAACTCGCCTGACAGCAAACTCTGGTGTTTCTTCCTTCCCCTGTAAGAGGAAGAAACACCAGACCCAACAGTTCAGAAGAGCTGAAGGCCACTATCACAGCAACATGGTAGTAAACTGTGTCATTGTTTGCCTGCAGTTATTACAGGATGTGTAGTTTAACGTGTACAAAGACCGGTAGCAAACTTAGCACTTCATGAAGACAGATTGCGTCGACCTCTGATTACAGCGCTTTACTCACTTTGTTGTTTATTTATGCAGCCAACACTTCTCAGGAATGATCAACATTAAAAAAATTAAGACTTGATAAAGTTAAATTTAGGACCTTGGATGAAAATCTGAGTGATTTTAACATTTTTTAGACCTAAAATTTAGATTTTCAAATTTGAGACTTTTTTAGACCCTTCGTGAACCCTGTTTTTAGAAATCTATAACAAAGATTTTTAATGGGAACAGATCAGTTTTGTTCTAGAATAAAATGTGCCTCTTTAAGTTCTTACCATCCTGCTTCAGCAGAGTCAAAGCATCCTGTTCCTCCTCCCACTTCCCTGTCACAAAACAATCCCTGATTGAGTTTAACATCTGAAAAAGACAACAAATAGTTGTAAATTTCCTTTGACACACATTTCTCTTCTGATCAGCAACACATGGTGGAAACTATGTTACCTCTTCCAAATCCCAGTTGTGGGAGGAGTCAGGAGTGAAACGGGAGCAGTCCGCTGTGTTTGCCTTAACCTTCTTGCTTTTCTGAGAGAGGCTAACTCTAAACAGTCCTCCCAGCTCCTCCTCCTCTTCTTCTTGCTTGGAATCCTCTGCTTCGATAACTGCAAAAGAAGAACAACAAGGGATTGTTACAAGCAGCCTAAATCTGGAATACCAGTTCATGTCACAATGAAACACCTGTAAATATTGGGCCATGGAAGGTTCTGAGCAGGCACACAGGTTACAGAAGTTTAATCTTCTGGTGGACTCAGATTAAGGGTGGAGTTTGGTGTAGAATGGTGGCAGCATATCCATGATGTGGGGTCCAAACCCAGTGCTGTGGCTTGGGTGTTACAGCCTCGGCCAAATGTGTCTCTAGTTCCAACTGAGCACTTCCAGAACCACCTCTGAGGCGGTTCTAAGCAGGCAGAACCAAGTATTTCATGCTTACGGTTCTGACGTCAGCAGAAAGCTGTCTGTGGATTAGCTCTTGGATTGACTGACTGGAGAGAAACGCTTTCATTTTGGAGTCAGAGTGTGAAAGAAGTGATAAAAACCATGGTCCGACCTTAGGGCTGCAACTAACAGTTATTTTAATAATCAATTAATCTGTCGATTATTTTTTTGATTAATCGATTAATCGGCCAAATAATTAAAATGCTTAATTACAAGAATGAATGGATATAAATAAATTAAATTCTTGTATAAATTAGGGATGTAAGTTATTGATTAATTAATTAATTTGAAGTAGGGTTGGGCAAATTTGGCAAAAAAATTTGTCACGATTAATTGTGGTATTTAGCTGATTACGAATAATTTGATGATTAATCCCCTTGAGTCCCTGGACACCCTTATGTCCTAGTCACATGACCAATTTAGTGGGAAAGATTTTTGCTCTTTGTAAAAATCACAGACTTCAGTCTATACATCGAATTTTAAATTGTGTTGATAGATAAATAAATTACAGAACCTTTTTTTTAAATATTCATCATATTTGAAGCAGAGAGGAGCACCGAGCGGTCTGACTGGGGAAATATCCAGTCAG